CTTATGGTATTAAGATAATATATATATAGTATATATACATACAATTTATATAAACATAAATATATATATTATGATTATTATATATATGTATATTATATATATGTATATAATGATGTATGTATAACATATGATGTATATATATACATGTGTGTGTATGTATGTAAATATAATCATACATTGATGTATGTATGTATAATACATAACTGTGTATCTGTAAATGTATATATTACAAAAGTATGCATGTATGTATATATATATGTATATATAATTATGCATATATAACATATATATAAGTATGTATATATATAATATATATATATATATATATATATATATAATACTATATATATGTATATATACATACATATGTATGTAGTATATATATATATACATACATATATATATAGTAATATATAATATTTATCATACTACATGTATGGTACATGTATATATATATATATATATATATTGTATATATACATAATAATACATAATATATATACTATATGCATAATATATATATACATAATATACATTACATATATATATATATACAATACATTGTATATATATGTATATATATATACATACTAAATATATACATACATACATATATATATATATATATATATATATATACCATTACTATAACATATATATATATATATTATATGTATGTATATACATATACATATAAACATAATATATATATATATGTATATATATATATATATATAATATATATATTATATAACATGAATATATAATATACATATATATATATATATATATATATATATATATATATATATTATATATATATAATATATATATATATATATATATATATGTATATATACATATATTATATATATATATATATATAATATATATATATATATATTATATATATATATATATTATATATATATATATATATATATATATATATATATATATATATATATATATATATATATATATATACATATATACATACATAATAATATATATATATATATATATATATAATATATATATATACATATACATACATACATATACATATACATATATAATATATATAATATATATATATATACATAATACATACATACATACATAATATATATATATATATATATAATATATATAATATATATATATATATATATATATATAATATATATATATATATATGTATGTATAATATATATATATATATATATATATAATATATATATATATATATATATATATATATATATATATATATGCTATATATACATATATATGGATACTTTAGGCTTATGAAGATTAAGGAATAAACTAGAACTTCATTTGCTGGTACAGGCCTCCAAAAACTTATTGGAAAACTTGCAAGGAATATTTCTTCTCTCTCTCACTGTCACTCATTCACTTTCTCTCTCCTTCCTACACTTCTTTTCTCCATCCCTCTCTCATTTTCTCTCTCAGCTCCATAAAGACAGTAAATGGCTATTAAGATAATCAGTTGAGTAATCATTAATTTTGAACATGTTTAATGTTTTATTAGATAAATGTGGTGCTGACATTATCTGTATGAAATGCTTGGACCAGAACTGAACCGGTATTTTTTTTTTTCCTTTCTTTTTTTGTTGTCTCATTTTCTTTGCAGGAAATGGTGTGTTGATAGCTCCACTACTGTGATTAAGGGTTTTCATCATGGCAGCCCTGAAGAAATACTCTCTCTTGCCAGTTCACATAGTCGAAGACCACAATGATGCTCTCTATCATATCTTGCGTGTTATAGGGTCCAAACACCTTCCCTTTACACACAATTTGATGATTCACTTCGATTCTCATCCAGATTTGCTCATACCAGCTGAGCTCAAAGCTTCAGAGGTTTTTGATGTGCCTATCATGCTCCAGAAATTGAGCATAGAGAACTGGGTTCTTCCTGCTGTATTTGCAGGCCAGATATCTACTATTGTCTGGATCAAGCCCCCATGGTCCAACCAGATTGATGAAGGGGTCTATGAATTTCAGATTGGGAAACAAAAGGAGACTGATCAGATTAAAGTTTCCTGTCCAATTATGTATTATGTAGGTGAGATGTTGTTTTGTAGAGAGAGTGAGCTAGAAGATCGCAAAACTGTGAAATTACATGTAGTTACGTTAGGATGGGAAATGAGAACAGACCTTGGAAAAACACTTTGTCAGTTAATTGAAGAACAAGGAGGCAATTACATTCTTGATGTTGATCTAGACTTTTTCACAACAATGAATCCATTTATTGAAATGCATAAGAAAGTAGACATGTACAGCAGACTAAGGCAGATTTACAGTTTTGACTTCTATGAAGTAGAGGAAGAGGCTGTTGTGAGTGCCCAAGTCAAAAGAAGCAATCAGATATCTAGTCTAAAGAAAATATTTACCAGTTTACATGAGCTGAAAGACCCAGAGCAGATCAAGGAAAATGTAAATTCAATTTGTCAGTCAATTGCATCCCAGACAGACAGAAACATTTTGACAGCTCTTATCAAAGACTTGGCTACTGAATATGGCTCAGAAGTTGACTGGGAACTGATCCATGAAGCTGGGTGTACCTGTGATGACCAAAAACACGAGTTGCCTCACCACGTTTCCACAGATGAACAAATTGTTCAGTTAATGGAGTGCTTTCAGCAGCTTATTTCATCTCTTCCATCTCCTACTGTCATTACCCTCTCCCGTTCCAGTCTTGATGATTACTGTCCCCCTGATAAAGTGGATATGGTACAGGATTTACTTTGCAAATTTTTGAGAAGAACTTTTGATATAGATTGTAAAAGCCACTATTTGAGTGATAATTGATGTAATTTCTTGTCCAAGTTTTTCTTTTCTTTTTTATTCATTTATTATTTTTTATATCATTAAATGTTAGGAAGAGAAGACAATGATAATGATGTGTAGTGCTGAATTGTCCGAGAAATGTATTGGTAATTTTTGTCTCAAGTGTAAATGCAATCATAGCAATATTTTGAATGTGGGTTCACAAGACTATGATATATTTTGACAATTTATATTACATTATCCATAGTATTTATGGTCTGTTGTTGTTTATAATAAACAAGAATCCCTGCTGAAAAAAATAATCAGATGTATTGCATTTTGACAATAAATTTAAATAGGCAGATAGTTGTATTATTTACCCTGGGACAAAATGTAAAAAAAAATAAATAATAATAAATAAATAAATAATCAAAGAAATAAGAAATGAGAAAATAAATCATGGCACTTACAAAAATTAAAAATCAAATGACATAGAGAATATAATGAAATAATGATTGATATTGATGGAAAGAAAATATTATTTCTTCCTACAATAATGAATCATGTAATACATCAATATTTGTATTGTTTTTCTTTGATTATTATTCTTTTCAATTTTCGTCACTTACTGTTATGAACATTGTTATGATTATTGTTTTCAGCATTCAGATATTTCATATTTTTGCTTTGATTAGCACATTTATTTGATTTAACCATTAACCACTCGGGGAATGTGTTATCAATCTGAAATGTTATTTTTCCATGTATTATACACATATATTATTATTATTAAGCTTCCATGTTACTTATTAAATAGCATTACTTTTTTTTCCAATTCTTGTTACATTCGTATTCCTTGTACTACAACTTCAATTATTTTGCATATTATTAGAATTATTACTGATTATTACAATTATTATTATTATCATTATTATGATTACTATCATTATCAGTGTTATAAATATTATCATTGCTGGTGTTATTGTTATTAGTATTAGTATTATTACTACTACTGTTTCCTTGATCATTCTGTTGCTTTGTGATAAAGATATTCATAATGTTAAAAATTACAATTAGGAAGAGCATTAATGGCAATAATAGTAATGATGGTGAGGATAATAGAAATATTAATGATGAAAAATATAATAATAATGAGAATGAGAATAATAATGATAATGATAGCAGTAAATAATGATAATAATGAAGGTAATAGTAATGATAATTATAATATAAAGTAATGATGGTAATGATTAATGATAATGATGGTGATGGTAATTAACAACACTAGAAATGATAATGGTGAAACTGATGTTGATAGAACCCACTTTTAAAACAATAATTATGATTATTATAAATACAATGAAAATAGCAACAGTGATGGTAGTGATATTAAGGATAATGAAGATGGTAGGAAGAATAACTGACAAAGGAAGTCAATGTTATTGGAATAAACATGATGATAACCAATACAATAATAACATTATTTTTATTTTTGTTTTTTGATAAGTATTCTTTTAGTAGTAGTAGTAGTGTCATTATTGTTATGATTATTATTGCAATCAGTATTATTATCATAAATGCTGTTCGTATTATCATATTGATATCATGATTATTTTCTTTATATTAGGGCTGTTACTGTTATTATCATGCTTATTGCTGTTATTATATATTTTATTATTATATAAAAAAAAGAAAGAAAAAAAAGATAGTTTTAGCTATGTAGGTGTTATTAATAAATATAAACAATTCTGCATTCCATTTACATGGAATTCATTATTGTTTGTTATACTTTTGAATTACAAATTTGAGGCAGTCAGCGAAAGGAAAATTCAAAGGTTAACCCTCAAAAGAGAGCAGCTCCGTTTTCTTTAAAATTGACGTAGGCAAAATATTCGAGAGAAATTATAGTAGGCAAAAGTCAGACTTTTTACACTGGAATGTCTAAACGGAATATCCTAAGCCCACAGAGTTTTGAGAAATAAACATAATTAATGAATAAGCAATCATAAAAGAAAGTAAATCCACGATCAACATGAATTGAAAGCAACGAGTATGGTCATCTAATACCAAACAAATGTATGTAAAACGTTCAGCACTTTATATTTATTATTTTTTTTATTGTCACTTTTCGATAAGCAACATTAATAATGAATATTTAAAGGATTAATGCATCTTATTTTTTCGCCTCGTATTTGGAACTTTGACTT